GCGGGGGCAAGGCAGGCGGGGACGGCAGCGGCCAGGGTTCGCTGCGTCAGGACGAGCGCCGCAGAACCCAGGAGGCCCTGCGGAGGCCTGACAAAAGCGCTGTGGCCTCTCTGGGCAGAGGCTACCGGAGAAGAAATAGAAGAGAGAAATCTCCACAGGTAGCACGGCAAGAGGCAACTGCTCCTGTGGAAGGAGATATAAACCCCCAATATCTGCCAGAAAACTGCTTCAAGGGAGAAAAGCCTTTACCTTCCCCTGACAATTTTGAAAAGAACTAAAAAGCAATCCTATGCAACGATCAGTTTATATTTCTATCAGTTCTATTTTCAGTTAATACCTATTAATTATTACTATTAGTAGTTATCTCTGCCAAAAGGGGACAGCAGCCCTTTGGGTGACATAGGAAGCGAGTGGCTACTGGGAGAAACCCAGCACAGGACACAGCTGCCCTGCTCCGGTCGCCAGGCCAGCTCCCGTGTCCCCACATCCCTGGCACAGGGAGGGACAGAGCCACCACCGCACCACCTCTGCTTGCGCAGCTTCAGTGGGAAACTAAATTTCTATTGAGGTTACCCCTGTGCATGGTCTCCTTTTATTTTAGGCCATGAAGAAGGAGGAAAAATAGAAGCAAGGTGCCAGCCAGGAGCACACCCCAGCCTCCCCCAAAGGGTAAGTCAGCAGATGACACCAGGGTGCCAGCTGCAGCACCAGCTGCTGCTCTGCCCGTGTCACCTCTGCCTCAGGCGTTACACGTTCCTACGGCATAAATACCAGCCCCCCACCAAACACGGGGGCCCTGCGCACCCACTGCTCACCTGGCCAGCAGTGGTCCTTGCAAGAATGGTGCTCGGTGGTGGGATCCAGCCGGGCCGATCCCTTACCCTGGTTCTGGGAGGGAGCAGGAGGAGCTGGACAGCATCCCAGGTTCCCTAAGGACCTGAGCACCAGGAGAGGACCAGGCACGACGCTGCAGCAGGAGCAGCACCTACAAACAGCACCTGGCCATAGGCTTCTTCCCCCCCAGGCTGGTTTAAGAGCTTCTCCTCCACCGAGCTGGGTTTTAAGAGCTGCTGTGGCTTTGCTTCCTGGGGTAAAACTCACAGGATTTGCTAACGAGGCTGCCGGGTTGACCCGGGCAGTTATAACCATCCTCAGGTGAGGAGCCTGATTGCTCTGGTGGGCTCTGATGTGGGCATGGGGCAGGGCCCCACTGCATCCCAGGCCCACAGGTGGTGTGGCTGTGACTGCTCCCCAGCTCCCGCATTTCTTCATATGGATCATACGGATACATGGCTGCCCTTCAGCATATAGAAAATATTTCACACAATATGTGCCCAGCTTTAACAAGCCCTGGTTGTAAAGGCTAGCTACCGAACCTACCCGGTGTTTCTGACTCATTACGTACAAAGGAGAATTCTTCATCCAGTGCCCTGGCGTGGCTGACGGTGGGGTCTCCTTGGCAAAACAGGCGGGAAAAACCGTTCAGGGGAGGAAGGAAACCATGCCTGGGGAGAGTCTCACACCTACCGCCGCGGCCAGCCCCCCGCGCCGAGGGGAAGCGAGCACAGAGCAGGCGAAACAAAATTTCCTCTTTCTGGAGCTTTTTTTAGCATCCTGCTGGTTTTTACATAGCACATTTGGCTGAACTTTGCAATGTTACTGCTCGGGATTTCCAAAGTGTGGTTTCTCACATTGCCGTGTTTCTACCCCCGCTCTGAGGGCGGCCGCTCTCGCAGGGACGTTTCTAGGTGCCCCGGGCGAGCACCCACGCTGCTTCTCGGCTTCAGCTGGGCTTTCTGGGACCCCTCGTGCTGTGGGTTTGCAGCCCCAGGGAGAGGCAGAAGGTGCTGGAAGCGCATCCCTGCCCTGGGGCCGGGCTGGAGGGAGCAGGGGATGGTGTTGCAGGAAAGCTGCTGTGCAGTGGGGACGGGGAAATGCAGGCGCTGGGGGGGCAGCAGGAAAAATGCCCACATGCACGTGTGTGCGCACGTGTGTGTGTGCTGGGCTGTGAACAGACAGCTGGGCTGGGACTGCGCCTTGTCCTTCCCTTCACGTGTCCCATGGCCCAGCGACGGAGGCAGGGTAGATTTACCCACCAGGGAATGCAGCCAGAGGGAAAGGAGCATGATTCAGCCTCCCTGAGTGGGTGATAGGAGCCCCTGAGAAAGAGATGAAAGACAAGCTTGTTTAAAAAAAAAAAAAATTAAAAAGTCACAGGAAGGAAGAGCTGGGTGATGTGGGTTTAGGGCTTTATCTTGCAAACACCCCTGTAGGTGCTCCCCAGCCAGGTGCAGCCCTGACCGAGCAGCATTCCCAGGAGCGGTGCCAGCTCTGCATCTGCAGGAGCGGGACACCTGTATGGGCAGCAAGCGATGGCACCGCAAAGCCACCCAGGCTCCTCACTGCTGGTGCTTCGCAGCAAACTTCGGGCAAGAAGTTGAGACATTCTGGGTGAAAAACAGTGAAGATCAAGCCGAGGAAAAGCTGTGCAGCTTCTCGCGAGGCACTCTCACTCTGCCGGGCAGGCTGCCCGTGTCCGAGGGGACGGTGCTGGTATCTGGGAAGCCAGGAGGAACAGAGCTCTCCGGGAGCGAGAGGATGAACCCGGTCCCGCTGCCTGGGTGCACCCCAGGGACCTACAACACGGTTGTTTTGCTCGGACACCCCAGCAGGACCAGGACCTGGATGGGAAGCCTGGACACGTCACGCTGAGGAGTTTGCTGTAAGAGTAAAGACAGGCACGTCTTCATGGGGCCTCAGCATCACCACGGAAAACCAACGTGAAGGAGAGCATCCCTCCCATCCTCTATAAGTACCAGTCCCCACTAAGCAGCTCTGGGTGCCACATCCACAACCCCCTCCCAGTTACTTGTGCCAGTCAAGCTCCAGCAAATGGAAACCGAAGCCCTTGGCCCAAGTTACCCACCAGTGACGGATAAAACCTAACGAGTAGGTGAGCACCAATTAGTTTTCCTGCATGAGGAAGAGATTACTCACATTTCTAGAATTAGACGTGCAGGTCTGTGCATCAGAAGTTGGGCGGAGAATTAATAAAAGAATTGGAAAGTCTTAGAACAGAAGGCTAATTAACTCTACGGCTTATTAATCATCGCTTCTGAAGTTTAACGGGATTATTTCACAAGCCATTTTGCCCTACTGGTTATGTTAGATGCTGGCTCCCTGGAAGAAAGGAAGACATCTCCATCTCATCGGACTCGTTACTCAATGGTATGCAAGAGAAACTACACAAATAGCCACAGAAAAGCTGCCCACCTGAACCATTTCCTTTTGTAGATGATTTTCTGTTTCCATCCAAAACTACTTCAAAGTTTCGGTACATTCACTCTGCCAAGTGTTGAACATCAGCTTCGTTAATAAATGTTCACATTTTAACGCCTATACCTCAAAGCACAGGAAAAACCATCCGGGATTGCAGCAGGATATAATTTTGCCTTTATGAATGTGCCTTTGGCATCTTGGTTGGTATCTACAAACTTTTCCCAATTAGACCTGTAAGTTAATTCTTCATGCTGAAGCAAAAGGCAAACCTGAGAGAGTTTGGACAGAAATATGAATTTCCTCTCTATTTTCAGATCTGGGTTTGGTTTTTTTTTTTTTTGTCTGACAGGTTCAGATAATATCAGCTGCTTATCAAGCAAGCAATTTTAAAATAAAGTCCACCTACACTCACCTTAGGGACGATATCTGGTATTTCCAACAGCCACAGCAGTCACATGTGCAAGATGGGTAAAGGAAAGGCTTAGAAAAAGCAGCTGTGAGAAAGTCAAATTGAATATAATGGAGGTAGTTCTGCAGCAAAAAGTGTTTAATAAGTGGGCCAGTTGTCCCTGCTTGCATGCAAGCATGATTTATATTCTGTTTATGAAAGATAAATGAAAAAGTTGACCGCGGTTCAGTGAAAGCCACCGACTTGGGACTTCCACTCCATGCCGCAGCAGCAGTGGCTGCACTGGTGGAAAATGTTCATTTCTCAGGCGCGTGTGTCAGGCTCATTTACATAAGGAGCAGATGTCGTTCTGTCATCTTCTCGCCTGTCCATAGCCGTGGTGCGGGTGGGAAGCTTCTGAAGAGCTTCCTGGGAAGACCAGGGGAGTGTTAAACTCACGAGTGCTGTGTCGGGCGAGAGCATCCCTCTGCCCGCGGCAGGGCAGCGAGGGGGGACGCAGGCACGGCGCTCGCCGGAGCATCTCTGCGCTGGCCGCGTGCTCAGGCACGGGGAGACCAACGCAAGGGAGATTTGGATGGAAAAGGTGGAGCTGGGAAAGACGCAGCCAGTTAAATAAGCCCTGCGATCGGGGCTGATTTCTGCTTGGTGGTACAGCATGGGAGGCTGGTTTGTGGCAGCAATTAAACAGATTTTCTATTTATACCTCAGTGGTTTTGCACCTCCCTCCACTGGGAGAAGCACGGTGGGAGAAGAGCTGACCGCCACAGATGCCTCTAGCAATAGGTTTCTGCTAGAGAGATGCTCCCATCACTCTTGCAAGCTTTCCTGTACCTCTTGCTTTGTAAGACCCGTGTCTCCCCGCAGCGTTGTAACTGCGCCTTTCTGTCTTTCAGCTGCAGGGCCACGTCGGTTGTCAAACAAACCCTGCGTTGAGAGAAGCAGCTGCAATGCCACCCAAAAGGTGACAGAGATGCAGCTCCGGTGACGAACTGTCAACTGCTTCAGCACACGATGATGCATTTCTTGGTGTGGATCCTCTCCCTCTCAATCCTGCAAGAGACTGGAGTAAGGCCTGGTCACTTCTGACAAAGAGCATGAGCAAAGCACCCGAGCAGGACTTTAATTAACTCACCCCATAACGAAGCTCCTCCCCAGAGTGGACACGATGACCTGGTAACCAAAGCCTCACGCAGGGGTGCCAGGGCTGAACCTTTTTATTTAAGCACTGACGACCTGAGGACAACCTGGCTGCAGGATGCGAGTGAGGAACATGTTATCATGCCAGGGCTGAGCACGGATCTGGAGCACAACCATGACGAACAGTTCGACCTGCACTGAAACAGACCTCAAGCCCTACTATGCGATTACGTACACTTTCATCCTCATCCCTGGACTAATAGGAAACACATTAGCTTTGTGGGTCTTTTATGGGTACATGAAAGAGACTAAAAGGGCCGTAATATTTATGATCAATTTAGCCATTGCCGACCTATCGCAGGTTTTGTCCTTGCCCCTGAGGATTTTCTACTACTTGACCGGGACGTGGGAATTTGGAGGAGGTCTCTGCATGCTTTGCTTCTACCTGAAGTACGTCAATATGTACGCAAGCATCTACTTCTTGGTTTGCATCAGCGTACGAAGATATTTGTTTCTTATGCACCCATTCAAATTCAGTGACTGCAAACGCATCTGTGATGTGTATATCAGCATCGCTGGGTGGGTTGTGGTCTGCGTTGGCTGTTTGCCTTTCCCGCTTCTCAGGCTTCACCAGGATGTTAGAAACACGTGTTTTGTGGATCTCCCCGTAAAGGAAGTGGAACTTCCCCTCTCCATTGCAATGATGACGATTGGTGAATTGGTGGGGTTCGTAACACCCCTATTCATCATCCTATACTGCTCGTGGAAGACCATCTTATCATTAAAAGAAAAAAATTCTGCTTCACATGACCTCGGAGAGAAAAAAAAGGCTTTAAAGATGATTCTCACTTGTGCTTTGGTATTTCTGATTTGCTTTGCACCTTATCATATCAGCTTTCCACTAGATTTCTTTGTCAAAACCAAAAAGATTAAAAATGGGTGCGTCCAGAAGGTGATCTCGGTGTTTCACGTCGTAGCTTTGTGCCTTGCCAGCCTGAACTCCTGCGTGGACCCAGTCATCTACTACTTTACTACAGATGAGTTCAGGAGACGCCTTTCCAGGCAGGACTTGCAAGACAGCATTCAGCTCCACAACCTCAGTTACGTGAGGAAGCACTCCAGAGATACGCTCAGGGAGGATGCCATGGACTACTAGCACCGGCCTTCCCCAAACGGTTGCCAGGATTTCAAACGTTCACTATATTTTGGGGTTTGGCCCAATTTTTTTTTCCCTAGGACTCGGGCAAGCTTCTGCTGATTTCAGTGAGGGCTGGAGAAAAACAAACAAAACCCCCCAAAACCCAAACCTGTCCGAAAATATGTTGATTTAATACTGTGGTTGCAAATTTTCTCTGAATATAAATAACACCGTGTCGTTCCCGCAGGCCCTGTTTCTAAGCTGGGCAGCCAGGAGCAGGTGGCTTTGGCAGCAGGAGGAGGACGCGGACCCGTGGCGAGGGGTGATGCTGTGACCCGTTGTCACCGGTGAGGCCATTGCCCGGCCATGTCCTGGTCACACACTCTGGCTTCAGCAAAAGGCAGCAAAGATTTTGGGGTCTTGCTATGCAGAAAGAATTTGATCCTAAAAACTAGTAGGTGACACAATATTATATATTTCTGAAGCAAAAGACAAGCAGCAGTGACTAATTCCTACGGAGAGTGCCAGGAGCCCGCCTTGGGCCATGCTGACCACGGGGCGAGGAGCGTGAGGTGGTCCCAAAGAACTTGCCATTTAAATAATTAACCAAGCCTCCATTTTGGGGTGTAGCAAATGACATACCCCCAAATCACAAAGTCATTGAAGGGTCCAGACACTATTTTTCTGCCATCAGTTCCCATTTGTGGCTTGCAAGCCGTACGGTTTGAAGCTATATCACTGCCTTGGATAAGCTTTAACCACAGGGCTGCGCTTCGAGGGTATTTATTCAGGCTAGATGTCCATCAAGCCTTTCAGGTCATCTTTTCACGAAAGACGGGGCAAATTGTTTCGCTTTCACTGATAACTGACCCTGCGCCGTCGCATCGGCTCTTCATTAACAGCAGCGTGATTAAAACACAGAGGAACCAAACCTTTCTGAAGTTTACTGTAATGGAAACTCACTATAAGCAGTCAAAGGTGCCACGCAACAGGCTACGAGAGATTTTTACGAAAGGCTCAAACATGGATGTATGTTTAATAATGATTTCTTTAAAATCAAACAACAGAAGCTTTGGGCTTGACTGGTATTTCATTTGCACCTTCTTGTAAAATGTATTTTTCTGTGAACATTTGAATGTTACATTATGAAACATAAAAATACTGTGACGGTGTGAGGTTTTATTTAATGCAAATGTTGTTTTATAGATTTAATTTATAACAAAATATGTATTTTATAGAAAAATGATGTGAACCCCAGAGAGTGCTGGAACACAGAAAGACTTTTTTTCTTTTTAAAACCCCTTTCTGTATAATAAAACAAAACTCCACCACCTCATCCCTACAGGAGTCTGAGCCAGCGTGTCTGTATCCGCGTGTCGGCTGAGTAAGCACTGCTAATTCATGGGAACCACAAAGCACATTGTCATTTGTTCACGGCAATGAAAAAATATTTATATTTCCCGTTGGTTATGATAAAAAAGTCCGTTTAAATTTTAAATTTTAAATGTAATTCTCGGCCCGCTCTCCCCTCTGTAACTGCCTTCATCACCAATACGCGCTTCCGTGGACCAACGCGTGGCGGCACTTGGATGGCTGACGCCTCTCGAGCACCTGTAGAACATTTCAGATGCCTTTTCAAAATTATTTTCACCTCCTTCTTGCACCGGGGAGAAATGCAAAACGCTGGCTTGCACAGGGACAAAACACACGGCTGCAAATGGCAGCAGCTCCTCTGCCCCCCACGAGAGGTTCACCAAGAGAACGTGATTTCCCATAGCTGAGGGCCAGCACCGGCGCAAGCCCATCGCCGTCCCTTCTGGCCACTGTCCCACGTCCCCGGCTGCGTGGGAGGGGAGTGGGATGGCCCTGTACAACCCCCCGGACTTACTTTTAGCTTCTGAGGGGAAAAAGATGTTACACAAAACGGTGTCAGAAGTTCAGAAATTGTTCAATGAGAAAAACCTCAATAAGCTTAAGTTTTCCCACCTAGAAAATACTGTGGGTGCAACACGAGCCGTTTCCCCTGCTGCCATAGCAATGTGGTTTATTCATATTAGTATTAACGGTCTCTCTTTACAGGAAGCCTGGCGTAATAGTCGCGGTAGCTCACACGGGCCGAATTCAGGCGAGACCTGCCTGCCCTCCCCGTGCCGCGGCACCTCTGCGCCGGGTGGGACTGGCTTTTGCCGTGCTCCCCATCGCAGAGGTCTCGCGAGCCCTTGGCTGAGGTGGCCACGGACATCTGGAGAAGCGAGATATTACTTAGATTGACCGAAGGTGTATTTTCATGCCCTGTTGGTGGCTCGGGATCCATGACACCAGCCCATGCTTGAGCCCCACAGCTATCACGCACCAGCAGAGAGATGCTCTGCTGCATTTCTGCCAGCCAAGAAAGCCTCAGGTGGGGATGGCACATGGCGCACGGGAGGTTCAGAGAGGACAATTATGCCCGGCCACTGCAGCAGCAGGCAGCGATTGCTGTTTGATCGCTTTTCTGCCCAGCTTCGAGCTCTGTGCTGGGCCAGATCCGATTCTTCACCTGGACTTTGCTCAGCTCTGCCTGCAGTTCTCTGTTAGCCTGTTCAAAGTCAGCAGAAGCTGATATTCCCATGGAAATCTTTTCTCCGGAAGGCCTTTTCAGTAATAAATCTGGTCTGCAGCACTGGACTGGGAATCTGAATGAGAATGTAACTGAGAGCAAAAAAAAACCAACCCCAACATCGCCTGTATTCTGCAGGAAGCATTTCCTCCGGCTGCTCGAGAAGCACCTCTCCCCTGCGAGGGCTGCTACTGCCGAGAAGCAAAGCTCTGAAGTCCCTGCCAACAACCGCGCCAGGCGGGCTTTGTGCTGAAGCGACAAGTGGCTTTTTGACACAAACAGCGTTAGGTTTAATTTGTGCCAGGCCAAAAGAAAAGGCATATTCTCTTCTTTTTTTTGCAGCAGTTATGTTTCAGGAGAGTTATTCTGTATCTGGCAGTGAAAGCAGCCTCTTTGAAGGACTCTCCCTGAAACTGGAAGCACGCTGAGGGCAGGCTGCATCCCTCCCGATCCCAAAAAAAGCCATTTGTGGCAACAGCGCAGACGCAGGGAAGGTCTCAGGGGATGCCTGGGGACCTTAAGCTATTCAGATACAGCATCAAGACAAGTGTTTTTTTGGGAAGCATTATTTATACCCAACACGACAAGGCGAATGAGGATGACACGGTTCTGGGTGGAAGCAGAGCTCTCGGCGCGTTTCTGAAGGCCGCACGTGGCAGCCCCCCGTTTCCATCGACTCCCACGCAGCCGCGCGCCTCCAAACCCACGCGCCGCGGAAAGCGCAGGCGCCGCCTGCAACAGCTGCAGATGATTTCATCACACCTCAGGCACCGCTTCTCACAGCTTCCTTCATGTCACTGTCATCACGAGATGAGACGCGATGCGTTTGTTGGGTTTGTTTTTTTTTTTTTTTTTTTTTTTTGCACGTTGAGACTGTGCCGGCAAGCGAAGGCTGCTGCGGAAGTGGAGAGCGCGCGCCTGCCCCTCTTCCCGTTCTCCTCTTTACACCTTTGCGAGCTGGTCGTGCCGAGCCAGAGCAGAGACCCCCGAAGCGGCTGACCCGCTGCTGGCGGCGGGGGTGGGGGGGGCGGGGGAAGCTGCCACATCATTCTCCAGAGCCATGAAAAGCTCTTTTCCAACCTGCTTGACCAACGTACGCCTGAACCCACTGATCCCGGGGGCAATGAATCCGGCAGCAATGCATTCCTGTTTTAATTACACAACCATTGCTTGGAAACGTCCCGCTGTTGCTTTGAGCCGGCCACCTGACAACGTCTTTCGGTGCCCCTTCCTCTTCCACCACGAGAGACCAGTTCCCTTTTCAGCTCCACTGCACGGCTCGTGCCTCCGCGGAGGCGAGGCCTCACCGGCGCTCAGGACCCCCAGCCACCTCCGGGGTGGGAGCAGGGCCACGTGCTGGTGGCCACAGCGCAGGTCCTCCACGGCCACAGCCCGTCACCTTTCCAATCTCCTCTTCATCTCCTCCACCATCACCAGCCGTTGCCCATGAGCTATCCATGTAACTCAAAAAATCTCCTTTCATGATGAAAAGAGCTGATTTACAGCTCCTCTCACCTAAGCAGAGTTGTTCTCCCTCCTTACACCTCTTTTCTTTTATCAGCACTAGAATTTATTTGCTATTTTGTCGTCTGGTTGCTCAACGTCCTGAGAAGACTCTCCATTTCTTGGTGGGCAGCGTTAAGATTTTCCAGCTCCGGTTAAGGCTGCACCAGCAGCAAACTGTGACACTTTTTACTTCACCGTTTACTTCCTTTTTCACTTTGCTATTAGCGGCTCAAAATTAGTATCGTCCCCAGCATCACAAAAACAGCTTGCTGGCCATAAAGGCACACCAAGCACCAAACCCGGCGCTGCCGGACACCGCTCCTCAGACCTCAATAACTAAAAAAAACCAAACCACAGCAAGTGACCCAGATACAAGTCAGCCTCATCCAGTACAAAAACAACAAAAAAAAGCTAAAATCTTGTCAGAGATGGTTTGATAAATGCCCTGACAGAAAGAGAGCAGATAAGCTGGAGGTGCCTGGCCAGTGCACGGTTCACGCTGCCAGTTAAGTCAGGGCAGAGGGGCTCCAGCATTTGGGCTGATAAACTGAGCTCTGTGTACATATGATCTGTATGATACACATTAGTGGTCAAAAGATCAGATTTTGAAAAAGATCCAGTTACTTAAAGCCATCCAGAATAAAATAATAGTAATAAAAAACCAGAACACATCTGCAACAGCTGTTTTGGTACCACCACTCACCACTGTAAGGAGTTCGTTGGGACCAGCAACTACCATCGGATTGACCTGTTTCACTCACCCTTCTCTCTAACGCAGTGATTTCCACTTCAGAACTTTACTGCATGGGTAACACTGCTGAAATACATAAATAGAGGAAGACTCTATGAATTTCTCAAAACTAAAAGAAAAATATGCCGCAAAGGAGAGTATTTGGGAAACGCGGGGTATAACCAGGACATTCCAGTTGAAACAAACAGTCAGAGATACAGGGACCTTTGTTTCGCTTATCAGTTCTTTCCTCCAGTGTCCCTTTAATGTTTTATGCTCTATTAAAGACTCGTCCATAGTATCCCGGTACTGATGAATTACCCCAAAAACATTCCATACTTTGGTATCGTTCCTTACTTCCCGAGACTGAACCCCACGCAAAGACTCCTGCTGATGCCAGCAGGCTCATTAACTTCCATTAATGAAAACACTGACCTCCCCAGGAGCAAACGGGGATGGACACAATCACATATTTGGATTAGGTCAGCCGATGTGAGGCGACTTGGGCTCAGTCCCCTGAAGGCTCAACCCTTGTCCAAGGGTCTGCTCCCCCAGAGCCAGGAGAGAAGCAACAGAAATGTCCTTTCTCATCGTGCTTCCAGTAGCTACAAGGGGAACGACCGCACGGCTTGTTGGCCCGGCGGGCTCCTACGCCTTGCACTGCATTTAGGAAGAATCTCCAGCTGTACCAGAGACCGCTTCTGGGCATCAATATGTCTTCTTTCAGGATTGCCATCATCCTCTTCCTCAGAGAGCAGCCTTCAGCCGAGAGGAGGAGGTGCCTGGCCCGGGGTCAGGCGCACCCATCTGATACACTAAGGGCTAGATTTAACGTAGGACTGGGGTTTTAACAATTCCGCATCGCTTCAGTCTCTCTGGGAGGAGCACACCCAGGTTCTAAATCATGGGGAAGGGACAAGGCTGTCACTGCCCCTCCCCTAAGTACCGTCCTTGCCTAAGAAGGAAGGAAAACGGTTAAAATTCCTCCTTAATTTAAGAAAGGATTTGAATGCCTGTTTCTCCTTGCTAGGAAAATGCCCTTGGCTCGTCGGTATGAGGACAGTCTCTGCTCCTCCATCAAAGCAGCGCGAGGACAAAGCGATCGCAGCCCCGTAGGCTGGCCCTGGGTACGGGGAACAGACAGAAACACGACTTTTGGTGGTTAGTGCCGTCTCCTCAAAGGGGAAGACCTGGGTGCTTGTTCCCGCTTCCAGCTCTATTTCTGTATCTTACGTCAAAGCAACACGGGATACGCTCCGTGAACACCACCAGCTGCTGGCAGGGTTTAGGTGGGGTTTTTTGGTGGCAGTTAGCGCTCCGTTTTAAGGGATCTCCATCCCGTCTGCGTGCGGGCGATGATTGAGCAATGGCTACCTCTAAGAAAGCCACTCCGGCGACATGCCCAGATGTACCCAGAGCCTGTTTCGGCATGAGTTAGACCTCAGAAAAAGGCCTCATCCCAGTCAGAGCCGGTGCTCAGTTCTGGGCTTACACAGAGGTGCCAACATAAAGTCACGGGGAGAGGAAAAACGAAGCCTCTCGGAGGTTAGGGACCTCCGTGGTCAGCAAGCAGCTGAGCTACCATCGTCATGATTAGAATTTTTGATGCCAGTCTGCTTAAGTTTCCTTCCACCCCTGTTTTTTTCCTCCTAAACCTAGAATTCAGAGGAAAAAAGAAAAAACAACAGAACCAACAAAGGTAGGATGAACAGAAATGATGTAAGGGATTGCCATACCGTATTGGGAGAATTAACAACTCTCTTACCTCACCTGCCTACCCATTTTCCCAGTGGGCTGGGCAGTGATGCAAGAAGGGCATATCCTGGTGGGGCTCCGGCCAGCGGCCGGCTCCAGGCACCCCACGGTCAGCTTCACCTCCCTGCTTGCTGCCCCAGGAGCCCCAAGGGAAAAAGCTTGGATTTAAAGCTTTTTAATCCACCCAAACTCTTGTCTTGGCTGCCTAGCTTCTCTAATCTGCTGTCAGCCTGTTTATCGGCCCTGTGATTCAGTGCCATTATCTTCGCAAACTCCGCTATGACATGCCATAGTCGATATTTAAAGAAATGGTAACTCCTTGTGGTCAGACAGAGGTCTGTGCAGTTAGAGAGAAAGTTCCCAGGAGACCGACATAAAACAGAAGCTAAAACTCATACGGCTTTGACTTTCTAGTTTAATGAGAGGTTTCTCATTTAGGTGAATTAACACTAACCATCAAAGCCCCACAGCCCAGCCTGTTCCTGTTGGTTAACAGTCTATAAAACCCAGAGCAGCACCGTCGCAAGCCCAAAGACAACAGCGGCACCGTGCCCACGCCGGCGTGGTGCCGGTCCTGCGAGTTCCTTCACCCAAAGTTTCTCCCTCTGGGTTTGTTTGCGCCCGACTGACCCAGCCCAGGTGTCTCCCATGGGACGTCAAACCCCGGTGGCATCCAGCTCAGAAGCTCTTTGGCTGCTGCCTGGTTCAGTGGGATCTTCTACAGCAGCCACCAGCTTGGGACAGGGCCATGTTCTTCTGGCCGTCCCACGGGAGGGACGCAACCACCGGCGCTGCCACGGATGGGAAGCAGGATGGTTTGGTGCAGGGCAAACGATCCTGCTCCTCACCGGGATACAAGACAGCCCCGAACCACTGCCTCGCTTCCCAGGGGTGCACAGCCCTTCGCAGTCACGTAACGTGGGCAATGCTGCAGAGCACTTATTTTTAAGGTCTTCTCCCATTACCCAAGAGCTCTTTGTTTGGCGATCGGTCAAATCCACAAGTTCAGCATAAGGGAAGATTGCTTCTGGAAATCGAAATCCCTTTGGAGATGCACCTGCCCCCAGGCAGCACTGCCAGCACCCACCACGGCAGCACGACAGTAAGGCCAACTTGGCACCAAACTGGTTGGATATTTAGGAGTTGAAAAGAAACAAAAAACCTGACTGTGAACTATAGAAATAAGCGGGCTGAATATGGCACACGAGCACTGAACTAAACCCAGCAGAAATCCCAGATTCAAGCCCCGCTGATTTTGTTACCGGTGGGTTTTGCCCTCGCTGCCTGTTGCACTAAAGCCCATCCGTGCGCTTCTGAAGCTTCCTCTGAATCGCGTTTGGCACCGGGACGGTGTTCCCACGCTGGCTCGAGGCCAGGTCTAAGACCAACGCTGGGCCCAGAGACGCGCAGGCTCTCCAGGGCTCGGTGCTGAGCCCTCGGGAGGTGGCCGTTAGCATTTGCACGGGCCTCATCAAGGTGCGTTCGCCTCCGTTTGCATCAAAGCAAGTAGCCCTTCCTAGAAATACCAGGTAGGGGACCACAGCACTGTCTGTTCAAAGGCCAAAGGATGAATGCAGAAGCAAGGCTGAGATTTTACGGCTTTGAAGAACACCTCCGTGCTCCTCAGTGCAACAGCCACAGCCAGCATGACCTCTTCTATGCAGAACAGCGTGGGAGAGCAACGGGGCAAACCAGGCCCCTCCACCCATCTCCCCTGCGAGGGGGCGACGCTTTTCTGCAGGAGCCGGGGGCCCGGGCTCACGGCACGGGCCCCAGCTCACCCGAACATCAGCATCAGTTGTAGGTCCCGGCTCTGCAGCAAGGACCCATCTTTTCCTTGTAGCACTGGAGTTTTTTGGCTAGTGGTTTTTGTTTAGGTTTTTTTTTTTTTTTTTTTAAAAATAATGTAGACAAAAACACAGAAGAGGAAGAAAATCAAATGATGCTGAGAAAGCAAAAAAGAAGTTTTGTAGAGAAAAACCATTAGCTTCATTAAAAAACAACAAATATTGTGAGTCTGCAAATAGATACTGCAGGTATCCAGTATTTCTGCAAACAGGATATTTATAGAAGAAATACAGAAGTTGTTGAGAGCTGGAACTCACTTCTTTCTTACGCTCAAGGCACTTAGCCAGAAACTTTGTTTTCCCTCCAGTTAGTATGAGTCATTTCCCTATTGAAAATCAAGGGTCTTAATCTACGGTGAAAACAGGCCCTCAGAAACACCCCAGCAGCCAGCAGCTCTAGGTGCAAGCTCTCCCCAAGCCATGTACGCGTCTACTCGCCGGCCGCCTCCACCCGCGCACACCTTGCCCACAGAAAGCCCGTCCAGGCAGTCGGTAGCAGGGGACCGTGTCTTTGGGGTGTCACTGCTGCCTCGCAGCCACCCAGACAGCCCCCGATTCAGCCGTGGTTTGTAAATTGTCAAGAGCAGTTAACACCGGAGGTTTGACGAGAACAGAACGAAGTCAGACATCAAGGAAAGCAGCTAACACTGCAGCACAGATGTACAAGATAAGCAGAAATGCTTTCATTTCTTTTCAGAGCAGAACCTGCAGTGGAAAGCCAGCAGTTACGGCTCAGCTCGCAGCCTGGGATGTGCTAGGGTTTATTTGGGTGAAACTCCGGTCCCACCCTCTCCCTCTTGTTTTGTTTTGGTTTTTGGTTTTTTTTTTTTGTTTTGTTTTTTTTAAAAACATGAGTTGAGGCGGCAAAGCCGTAACTGCCTCACGCTGGGCGATAAGGCACACTGGTAAGGGTAGGGTAGCCTGAACGGTGCCTTCTACGTCCCTCTTATTTTTCTAAGCATTAACTAAAGAGGCGAAGAACGGGAGATGACAAAGAAGCTACAACTGCCAAGTGCGGAGAAGCCAAAGTACCGAGTCACTTATTGTCAGGTGAGAGTGGAGTGTCACCGCTGATATCAGCGCCCCGCAGAACCAAAAGCCCCTGCAGACCCCATCCTCACCATGGGATTTTTGATCATCAAGCGGAAACCGTCGGTTTACCTATCCATGATCTGTTCCTGACGAATCCCACACGCACGCGCTCTCGCTCCAGAATAAAAGCGCCTGGTCCCACTCGGACAAGGGACGGGGTTTGTAGGAAGGAGGTTCCTTGGTCCCGAATCAGGTGTCCGCACACGGGCTTAACCCAGAACAGCTTCAAACGTCAACAAGGCCGAAAAGGGAACAGCTTAGAGAGCCTGAACGCTTCTGTAACAGACACACAACATCTACGTCCACGGTCAGGACGACTTTTAAGACAGAAAATTCACTTTTACCTTCGTTGATGTGGGACCCTGGGGTGTCACGGTACAAAAAGAGAGAAAAATACGCTGAAGTAAACAAAATAGTTGAACTATAAGAAATAATTTCCTTTGGAGGTGGAGTGCAAGGTGGAGAGTCTTTAATTACTCTCAAGACAGGAAATACACCCATTTATATTGCCTAGGTAATACCACAAATATATACGCATAATGATGAAATAATTTTAATGAAATCATGTGGCTGTAATTACACATATTATAATTATTTTGCTTGCAGTCTCGAAGCTTCGATCGGTGCTAGCATTCGGGCTCTGTGCCACAGCCGGCAGCCGAGCCAGCCCCCACACGGCTCAGAACGAGGACAGTCAAAGCAGCTTTAATCCCTCCAAGCCTGACCCCAAGCGCAGCCTTCCCAGGGCGGTAATTCAGCCACGCGGCTAGCTGCTGCGCCACCGCGGGGGCCTCGTGGACTGCGCTGCATTTATCGGGCCCTGCAGATGTTCTCTTCTGCTCTGGGATTTATTTCGGGCACGTTAGAAGAACATGAGATGAAATGCAACAGATCAGGGAAGTGGTAGGGTGGAAGAGGCTGTCTTTAGTTAAATGTCATGTTTTTTTTCCTCTTTCTAGCCTTCCCGAATACTTCAAAGACCAAGAAACAACAGCATCAACCTACAACATCTAAAGCTGGCAGCCGCTCCGTCATTAACCAGGGGACTGTCCCATGCAGCCCACCCCGCTGCAAGCAGGGCTGCAGCAGCTGGGGAAGAATGAATCCCAGACACAGGAGGACGATTTAAAAATAGCGAACCAGAATTTTTCTCAGGGAAATTCAGAGCTGATTTCAGCACTCTGATATTTCTGCCGTCATTCACCACAAACTCTGCCGAGCACGCCTGAATTTTTGGTAGCTTTCCCTGTGATGCCAAGAACTAGCGAAGCCCACAGAAGTAAGCCCAGGCTTGCTGGAGTCCTAGGTCCTAGTCCTTTCCTAGGACTAGTCCTAGTCCTAATCCTTTCCTCTTCATCCTCCAGGCACCTGCACATGCACCGTAACTTCTGCTGCGGGTGCGAGGCGAGAGCTTTTCGCTACCATACCAAGCACGGCTGTGCTGCAACCGTCCACAGTGTAGAGCCGAGCTTATTGTGAAAAAGATCTCGCTTTTAGACAACCAGTTTATCAAGTCCGAGGTGCTCAAGCTCTATTTCATACCAGGCCGAGGCCTCGCTATGTCTTTCAATGGTGTCCACGCTGTCACCGTTTTCTTCTTCTCTGGATCTTCGTCTCAAGGTATTTATACAGGCAAATAACTGGTTAATTCCTATGAATTTTTGCTAAGTCAGGCTGGAGGAAACTCTACAGTTCTAGTACAGATAGCAGCTACTCTAATGGAAGTGCCTGTCACCCACCCCACCCCCCCCGACACCCACCGCTATCTTACCCACTCACACTCAGACAGAAAGCTATCAGGCTTCTGCAAAGCTCAACAGCAACTCCTCCGAGTAATGAATTCAAGTTTGCTCTTCATTATGAGTTTTCTCTTTGATTAGAGTGCTTAAACTTGAAAAAAACCTCACACGTAATGCTGGAAGAGGAATCATCCAAAGCACCGGACTGTCAGCTTAAGATTCATAAAGGTATTTAAAACCCGCATCGAAATACACCATGTCAGAAAAATAACACGCAAGCTAGCGTAAAGATAACTCGCCAATAAGCAAGTGCACAGGTATTGCTGATTGTCCTGTGCACACTGGTTGCTTCTTCAGTAAACACACCTGTAAACAGAAGCTACTGCAGTAAACAAGCTTGCATTTGCATTTTGGTAATGCTGTCCCTTCAGTTACCACACCCATGTCTGAAGCACAGTCTTACTTACTACTTCACAGGGTTTTACACGGGTTCCAGTTGTGTTATAAAAGTGTTCATTACTATAGATAAAAACTAAGCAAAGACACCGAACGCCACCTAGAGGAAGTTTTCATCAAACCATTTTTAGGTTTAGTTTTGGCAAGACACCCGAACACCCGTACGTTACAATAAATACACCCGGTTTTTATCATTTACACGCACGTTTCGCCCAAGCGCTTGCTGCCTGTGCCATCTACCGGTGCGAAGGCCGCCTCTGACTCGCACCCTCTCCCCTGCCTCCTACGGACCAGCCGAACACAGGAGCTGCTCAAGCAGAGACGGCGTTAGAAGACCCTGGCGATCCCGGCTGTCTTCATAGGGGCAGCCTGAAAACTGCAGCCCTTTGATCTGAATGCCTGCCCCCAGCACAAAGCGCTCCGGGACAGAGAACGCCGCACGCGTGACCGAAACGTCACCTACTTCCCCAGCGCAAGAGCGCCAAGCAGGTAAGAACAATCTGTTCCTTTGAGCACGCCGGCTTATTGCCTAGAACATCTAATAAGCTCTTAAGGATCTGACTTAATTTCTTTTAAAATCTTTACCAAAGGTAAGACAAGCTGTTGCAGCCCATCTGGAAGCATGTCTCCAGGTAGCCAGCAGGTTAAAGGCTTGTCCGGCGAGAGCCACCCACCAGACAGTCACTCAAAGCTGGCAGGAAGTTTTTTTTGATTTCAGTAAAGTCAAACCTCAACGCTCCAAGCAGATGCTTCTTGCTCCCCGCAACTGACACATTTCCAAACCCTTCCACTCAAGGCTACCAAAACAAACCAGCCAGCCAACCCACTCCCGATACCCTCTCAGACAATCCGGAGGAGGAGGAGGAGATCACCACGACAGTAACTTGCCCCAGCACACAGCAAGTCTGGAGCAGACGCTTGTCAGCGCAGCTGCTTCCCCCAGTAACACACACCTGCTTCAGTAAAGCATACCTGGCTCCCGGTGACAGTAATTACAGCTTTCCACAGCATCCTATTTCAGTAAAGTTAAGTACGACATGACGTACTCTCCTACGCTTACTATTTTAGAGCCAAGCAGACCAAAGCCCTAGTTTTGGGGCACGTCCTCTGCATCGCATCGCCACGCACCTCGGGAGAAGAGCTGCGGGGGTTTCCAAGCCAAGGCAGCCGAATTCCCTGCTGCCCAGGGGCTCTGCTCCTCTCCCCTGCACAGTTTCATAAACAACGACCGAGATCAGCTACTCCTACAGTCACTTCTCATTCCCTAGCTCCTAGTGCTGAAAGCCTGCTCACTGTTTTACTTCCAGCTGTACAATCCAAGCCACTTCCCAGGAAAGCCAGAAGGGTTCAATACACACGTTAGCTCTCTGAGCAACCAGTCACAGGAATTACACCGCAGCGTGCTTGGAGCTTAAAGCCCAGCAAAGCTCACAGGTAAACGCTGAGAGGTGTTACAATAAGCTGCTGATTAACCCTCCGCTGTCTCCGTCTATTATGATACGCTAAAAAGACTTCTCATCAACGCTGCCATAAACACACTAAGCCAAGCGTACCTTTAATCACCAGCCTCATCAACACCAATATTGAAATGGATGAATTGCCTTTGCCACCCCGCAGCTGCCAGTCAGGGCCCGCGTGCCAGGAGCTCCGCTCAGCGGGTTCGCTGAGCATCGCTGGGAAGTGCCTGCTGGGGGATCAAGTCGGAAGCGAGGTGTCTTTTCTTCCCTCTGTTCCCCAAGTTCTTTTTGCACCACAAAGCATTTCCACAGCAACAGCAAGAAGAAATTCGGCTTCACAAGCTGAAAGAGAGGGGAAGGTAAGAGGGGTAAGAGGGAAGAGCGCCGCACGCTGCCCCAGGCCCACAACCACCACTGCCCCCAGGCGGGCCGCACACCAGCGTGCGGCGCTCTTGCCTCGGAGCGCCATGAAGTCACACAGACGCCAAAGTTTTAGAGAAACATTTATTATAGGGTTGCAGAATTTATGCCAATATAAAGTCCCTTAATAAAACTCTGAAGTTCATCAACTGCAGGACACTAACTCTTCATTATCTTTATACCGCAGCTTTCAAAAAAAGGAACAATGCTCTGACTGCAGTAGTAATGCTACTTGCTCATAAAAAGTTGATCTAAAAAGTTTATATAAGCCAGAGTAGTTTAAGTTTACAGCTACAGTCACATTCACAAGTGAGCTATACCAGAATAGATTCTTGAAATAGGAAGTTACAGGATAAACTAATTCATAACCAAAAATACTGACAAGCTTTAAGAGCAACTCTATCCGAATCTAACAACCAAATACCACAAAACCAAACAAAGGTAGAAGAATTAAACATAAGCTTGGGGAAGGTTCCAAATATACATACGAATTCAATACAGTAATTGCACAAAATGAAAGAGGGTAGTGTTAGAGGTTTATGATCACTGAGGTTGGATTTTACATGCTTCACACATGGTAGTTAAAATAAACCTTTAATGATACGCATTAGAAGGTTTTTTTAGCCAGGATACGGAGTGCAGAGCTATTCTACAGAACTACACAAAATGTGCAAACCACAGATTATTAATATTAATCAGTCTGTGAAAGTTAAGGTGAGCAAAATTGGTTCCAGCCAAGGAAAAGGTTAACATTTTTATATATATATATATATATATTTTTCCGCCATTCCCAGATTACACTAAATCAAACACATTCAACGGATAAACTGATATTAACCTTCTAAAAAAACAACAAACCTTACTTAAATTTAAGTCTTACATGAGACAACTAAAAAGTTATACCAAGGATCAAAGAAAGCTGAAATGGTGACTGTGTCTTCTGAAATACAAGCAATACACAGAAAATGCATAAGGCTTTTGATTATCACTGCACATTTTAACTTAAGAAGTCGACGTCTAATGCTCAGACTTCTCAATGAAGGTGTGAACTAGTCACCTCCCATCCGACACCCTTCACTGTTGACAGATCTTTGTTTCAACAACGAAAGAGTTTTCAAAGTGTCTGATTGAATGACAGTTCTCCACTGAACGTTTCTGCAGACCTGGGGACGAGAGAAAATGAGAGCCTCGGTAAAGGAGATCTAGAACCCAGCAGCAAGTATTTACAAGTTTTGTACCGTTATAAACAGCAGCAAGATACAGTCATTCAGCACACAGCGTTTCTACAGCCATGAGTTGCCACCAGAGCTTGAGATCAGTTTGTTATCTATCAGAAAGCCTCCCTCATTTTCAGAATTGGTAACAACGAGAGGGGCTCACGTACAACACAGGACAAAGCAAGCAAGCGCGCACTTTTTTCTAGTATCCTGCCACCATTTTAGTGACAGAAGAGCCAACGCTAAATAGATCATTTATGGCAAAGTTTCTCATAGCCCTTCCGAACCACAAAGAAAAGGAAAAGCAAAGCAGATTTAAATTACAGGGAA